CTATTTGAGTTTCTTCTGTTGAGAATTCTCTGTTTAGCTCTCCACCCCCCTTTTTAAATTGGATTATTTGGTATTTTGTTGTCTAGTTTTTTGAGTTCTTTATATATTTTGGAGATCAGCACTCTGTCAGATATGGAGTTGGTGAAGCTCTTTTCCTATTCTGTAGGCTGTCACTTGTCTTGTTGACCATGTCCTTTGTCTTACAGAAGCTTCTCAGTTTCAGGAGGTCCCATTTATTGGTTGTTGCTCTCAGTGTCTGTGCTACTGGTGTTCTATTTAGGAGGTGGTCTCCTGTGCCAGTGCGTTCAAGGCTACTTCCCACTTTCTCTTCTATTAGGGTCAATGTAACTGGCTTTATATTGAGGTCTTTGATCCATTTTGTTGCGGGAGGTCCTTCCGCTCCTCCAACCAATAGCTGCTGAGATACCAGCCCACTGGGGCGTGGTCTCTCTCCCTTTAAAAAAAGCGGCTACTTCCCTCTGCTCTCTCTCTCTCTCTTCACTTCCTGCTCCACCAGCGACTAGACTCCCTTCCTGGTTGCGCAGAGGGCTGTTGTCTGGGGCGGTGATCTGTAAGTTTTTTCCTCTTTAAATAAATACCACCCTATTAATCATAATTCCAAACTGGTGTGGCATTGTTCGTGACTTATGCCTTCACCATTTGGACTTGAGTTTTGTACAAGGTGATAGATATGGATCTATTTACAATCTTCTACATTTTTACATTCAGTTTATGCCATCACCATTTATTAACAATGTTTTCCTTTTTCCATTGTGTGGTTTTGACTTCTTTGTCAAAAATCAGGTGTTCGTATGTGCATGGATTAATATCAGGATCTTCAATTCAATTCCATTGATCCACATGTCTGTTTTTCTGCCAATACCAAGGTGTTTTTATTACTATAGCTCTATAGTAGAGCTTGAGGTTAGGGATGGTGAGGCCTCTGTAAGTTCCTTTATTGTATAGGATTGTTTTTAGCTATTCTGGGTTTTTTGTTTTTCTATATGAAGTTGAGTAATGTTCTTTCTAGGTCTATGAAGAATTGTGTTGGGAGTTTGGTGGGGATTACATTGAATCTGTAGATTGCTTTTGGTAAGAGTTCCATTTTTATTATGTTAATCCTACCTATCCAAGAGCATGAGAGATCTTTCCATTTTGATGTCTTCTTCAACTTTTCTTTAGAGAATTAAAGTTCTTGTCATACAGGTCTTTCATTTATTTTGTTTTATATTTGTGGCTATTGTAAAGGGTGATGTTTCTCTGACTTCTTTCTTGGCCTGTTTATCATTTGTGTATAGGAGGGCTACTGATTTTTTTTTTTTTTTTTAGTTAATCTTGTATCCTATCACATTACTGAAGGTGTTTATCACTTGTAGGAGTTTCCAGGTAGAGTTTTGGGAGTCACTTATGTATACTATCATATCATCTGTGAAAAGTGATAGTTTGACTTCTTCTTTTCTGATTTGTATCCCCTATAGCTCCTTTTGCTGCCTTATTGCTCTAGCTAGAATTTCAAGCACAAGATTGAATAGATAAGAAGAGAGTGGATGGCCTTGTCTTGTTCCTGATTTTAGAAGAGTCGCTTTGAACTTCTCTTGATTTAATTTGATATTGACTGTTGGTTTGCTGTAAATTGTTTTTATTATGCTTAGATATGCCCCTTGTATCCCTGCTCTCTCCAAGACCTTTATCATGAAATTTTGTCGAAGGGTTTTTCAGCATTTAATGAGATGTTCATGTGGTTTCTTTCTTTCAGTTTGTTTATATAGTATATTAGATTGACAGATTTCTATATGTTAAACCAACCCTGCATCTCTGGGATGAAGCCATCTTGGTCATGGTGGATGATTTTTTGAGTGTTCTTAGATTTGTTTTCCCAGTATTTTATTGAGTATTTTTGCATCAATATTCATGAGGGATATTGGTCTGTAGTTCTCTTTGTTGTTTCTTTGTGTGGTTGGAGTATCAGGATAATTGTAGTCTCGTAAAAGGAGTTTGGCAATGTTCCTTCTGTTTCTATTGTGTGGAATACTTGAGGAGTGTTGGTATTAGTTCTCCTTTGAAGTTCTGTTAGATTTCTACACTGAAGCCATCTGGTCCTAGGTTGTTTGGTCTTGTTTTGTTTTGTTGTTGTTGTTTGTTTGGTTTGGTTTGGTTTTTGTTGATGTTGTTTATTTGTTTTAGTTGGTAGACTTTTAATGACTGCTTCTATTTCCTTAGGGTTTATAGGTCTATTTAAATTGTTTATCTGGTCTTGATTTAATTTTGGTATTGTTCCCTATCTAGAAAACTGTCACCTCTTTTAAATTTTCCCCTTTTGTGGAATACAGGTTTTTGACGATAACCTGATGATTCTCCAGATTTCTTCAGTGTTTGTTGTTATCTTCTCTTTTTTCTTTCTGATAGTGTTAATTTGGATATTCTCTCTCTGCCTTTTGGTTATTTTGGAGAAGGGTTTGTCTATCTTGATGATTTTCTCTTTGTTTGATTCTTTATATTTTTTTCCCGTTTCTATTTTATTGATTTTAGCCCTCAATTTGATTATTTCCTGTCTTCTACTCCTCCTGGGTGAGTCTGTTTCTTTCTGTTTTAGAGCTTTCAGATGTGCTGGTAAATCACTTTCTCCACTTTCTTTATGTTGGCACTAAGTGCCAACTTAAGTGCTATGAACTTTCCTCTTAGCACTGCTTTCATAGTGTCCCATCGATTTTGATATGTTGTGCATTCTATTCTATTTGATATGTTGAATTCTAGGAAGTCTTTAATTTATTTTATTTATTTATTTATTTATTTATTTATTTAATTTCTTTCTTTATTTCTTCCTTGACCCAGGGGTGATTGGGCAATATTCAGTTTTCATGAGTTTGTAGTCTTTCTGGAATTTGTATTGTTGAACTTTAAGCAATGGTGATCCGATAAGATATAGGGGCTTATTCTTTTTTTTTTTTTTAATCTGTTGAGGTTGCAGATCCAGTGGAATACCTCATACAGAGAATGGCACTGGATGCTGGCTGGAGCACAGGTACTCTTTCACAGAGGGACTTCTTGACATAGTTTCTGGAAGTCTCTGCTGTTGATGCTTCCAGGCCACAGCAACCACCACCACCACACTCCCTTTCTGTCGCTTCTAGGCAGGAGCTGGGGCCACCATGCTCTCTTTCTCTCTGTATCTGTTTTATAAGAACAAAATAAAGTCTATAAACTTTTTTTTTACCTCAATGTCATTTGCTATCTTTTATTAAGATTTATTTTTAATTGTGTGTGTGCACGCACACACACATGCACACGTAAGAGTGCAGATGCCCATGGAGTCTAGAAGATGGAGTAGGAATTGGAGTTCCATGTGATTGTGGGCTTTCTGTTGTGGGTGCTGGCGTTGTGAACTTAGTCCTCTGGAAGAGCTCTTAGCCACTAAGCCACCACTTTTTCTCTATCATTTAGCATATTATTTAGGCTTTTGTTTAAAATTATAGAGCATGCAAAAGAAAAAAATGCGAGCCTCTCTGTGGTTCAATGAACCCATGACGCTCTGAGGCTGAAGGCCAGGATTGCCCAACCTCTGTTCCTCCTAGCCAAGGAGCATACCTAGGACCTAACATGATATCTAATGGACCCATATGCAAATAACTACTAAAGTAATATTTTTTTCTGAATAAATTCAGTGTAGCAGCAAGGAGAGAACATTAGATTGGAGTCAGAATACCAGGGTTCTGTCCCAAACTCCATAGTCAACTCATCCATATTTAACTTGATGTTCAATTATGAGGAAACCATATACTTCTTTCATGTCCCCAGATGTCTCTTCTATAAAACGAAGGTGAATGATTAATACTCCTTTTAAGCCAAGAGACCCGAACATGTATTTTACGTCCTGTCTGGTTTCCATGTAGCCACAGACAGAGGTGGCTTGTTCGGCTGGGCCTGAAGGCTCTAGACAGATGACAGCAACGAAAGTGGTAGAACTGCTAGCCGCTCTGGATGCTTCACTGTGAGTCCATCACGAGCCAGTCTTCAACAAGGAGTTTACTGCCCAGACTGGCTATAAGGAGACATTGGAGTATGTTGAATTAGGAGCGGCAGGGCTGCGTCCCCAGCACCCGGCCACCCACATGGCTAGTTTATGCCCGAAATAATTACACGGAAACTGTATTCTTTTAAACACTGCCTGGCCCGGCTAGTTCCAGTTTCTTATTGGCTAGCTCTTACATATTGTTCTAACCCATTTCTATTATTCTGTGTAGCCCACGAGGTGGCTTACCAGGGAGGATCTTAACCTGTGTCTGTCTGGAGCGGGAGAATCATGGCGACTCCCTGACTCAGCTTCTTTTTCCCAGCATTCTGTTCTGTTTACTCCACCCACTTAAGGGTTGGCCTATCAAGGGGCTTAGGCAGTTTCTTTATTAATAAGAAATCACTCCCACATCAGGAGTAATGAGAACTTGACTAAGAAATATGGAACACCCTAAACATGGAAGCGGTAGACTTCTCAGCACTAACCCAGGCTGAGATTGTACCCCTGAGACCCTGCTTTTTTTTCCCCTAACCCTGAGATCCAGACTACAGGGGCCTGGGTCATGGGGGTGGAGCCTTGATGATCAAGATTAATGCCCTTGTCAAGGAAGCCCAGAGAGTTTTCTTAGCCTGCCCGTCATTTGAGGGTACAAGAAGTCAGTAGTGTGCCCCCCTTGGCATTGTGTGAGCCCACCGGAACGCAGTCACGCTGGCAGACTGACCTCAGATCCAGACCTAAGAGCCGTGGGAAATAAATCTTTGTTGCTTACAACCTGCCCATTCTGTGACACTTCGTCACAGCACCCTGAACTGATGGAGCCACTGCTGAAGACTGGACCTGTGGTTAGCGCGGGGACAATGAAGTCACACGAGGTCATCAGTGACTCACCAGTATGGCTTGCTGGAGTTCCAGCTTGTCAGGGAAGCTACCCAAAGGGAGATATTTCAGTAGAGGGATTTTTTTTTCCTTTGCTGTAAATGTTTTCCAGGGGTTCCTGGGAAAGTCGGCAGCGTTGGTGCCCTGCAGGAGCTGGATACACGGCAGGAGGGTGGTTTCCTGAAAAGTGACTAATGGTAAGGAGGCATGAGTAAGAGAAGCCCTGGGCCTTATAGGAGCTTGTGCTGCAAAAGGACCTCGTGATGCAGGCGCAATGGGTGTAATCCTTTAATCCCCAGCCGAAAGAGAAAAGAAGTGGGTGAGGGCAGAAAAAAAAAAAAAAAAAAAGCTAGCCCTTCTCTTATAACATCTCTCGAGCACCCTCTACTGGCAAACTCAAACAAGGTACAAAGAAAAACCAAAAGGGCCCAGCCGCAACAAGGGTCAATTTGGAATTGAGAGGCAGTGAAGTATTAATATATGCAGAAGGCCCTCAAGAGCTGTCCCCTAAAAGGAAAGATCTAAATTCATAGACTGTATCATTCTATCACTCATCCCAGAGGCAACCACCCCAAAGACGGCTGATTGCACCCGGCTGGTGAATAGCTAGCTGTGTGACCTTGAAAAGGATTGGCTTAAGGGAGGCCACGTCCGGTTCACCAGAATGAACAGTAGGCAAGCTTCTCCCACAAAGATGTCAGGTCCTCGTAATGTAAGCTTCTGTGGTCCCTCAATTACTCATCCGTAATCTCAGAGAAATTTAACAATATGCTTATTGGTAAAATTCGGCCAGTTCTGTCCCTCTACCACCTCAGTTGGTCAAACAAAACACAGGGTGGAGGTCATGGTCCTTTCTGCTGATTTCTCCCCGGGTTTGCTTTGGATGTGGATTGCTTGTACAGCAGAGGCTCTGCTCATTTGCATAAGATCAGGAGTTTATTGAAATACCAGGTAATCCCCCATGGCAAGAAAATAACTCAGAGCTTATCAAGTCTCGCTTGTCCTCGGGTTAACTACCCTGATATTTAGTATGCCTTAAATTAAAATCCCATCCCAAATCCCTTCAACACAGGCAGCAACTCACCATCTGTAATTAGTACTGCAAAACCATTTACATGATTCTGCTTCTCTCTCTCTCTCTCTCTCTCTCTCTCTCTCTCTCTCTCTCTCTCCATCTTCAGGGCCAATACTTTCCACGCGATGAGGTGGTAGAGATTTCTATCACTTCCCCAGAATAGGAAATCCATGCTACTGCCATTAAAGAACTAAATGTTAGCCCATTTCCAATTCTTAAATAATTTCTTTTTTTAATATAATTTTTTATT